CCTCTTCACCTCCTTCATAGTTGCCTTCATAGTGGAGTGGAGGGTCTCCCTCCTCATTCTTGCCACTTTCCCCCTTCTGGTTCTTGCCAATTTTGCCCAGGTATGAAGATGAATCACATACACTTAATAACTAAGTCTTTTAGTGTGATTTAATCTCTGAGTTCTATCAAAAACTTAATTACTTGAAACTAAAACATTACTCCCTGTCAATAATGATTTTTTTTAGCTTCATTGGGAAAGGGCCAAAATTTTTGCCAATTTTGTAAATGATGAAAGTTGATTGACAATTCCCTGACACTGAATATAAAGGACAGTACTATGGTTTGGTCTTTGATTTTTCTTTGTTTTTGGGTTCCAAGTAAAGGGGGTACCCCTTTGGGTTGGGGGCTGTTTGGTTGCTTGGATGATTTGCTATTTTCACTGCTCACTTATTATTGCCAGTGGCTGCAGAGATTCTTGGCCCGTGACCATATTGAATCTTTTGAATTGGACCTATCCTTTCATCCAAACACTTCTTTTGAATTTCTCTGACAGCTCTTCTATTGTTTTTTGGACTTTTGAAGCCACTCACATGATTCACATCACACGTGTTTAGCAAACTCACATTAGGAGTTTATGAAATTGTGAGGTTATGATATTTTTTAGAACATTTTTTTGAAGTGGGTACTAACTACGGAGTACTTAGTAACATGGTGGAATGTTGTTTGATTTTGTTTTTTTTGTTACATGGACAGCAACTCTCAATGAAGGGGTTTGCAGGAGACACGGCGAAGGCGCACGCGAAGTCGAGCATGATCGCGGGGGAAGGCGTGAGCAACATACGAACCGTGGCGGCCTTCAACGCCCAAGACAAAGTCCTTTCCCTCTTCTCCTTTGAGCTAAGAGTGCCTCAGAAGCAAAGCCTCAAGCGTTGCAATTTGGCGGGTTTCCTATTCGGCCTCTCCCAGCTCGCCCTCTACTCTTGCGAGGCCCTCATCCTATGGTACGGCGTGCACCTCGTCGACAAAGGCCTCTCGACCTTCTCGAAGGTCATCAAGGTTTTCGTGGTGCTCGTGATCACGGCCAATTCGGTTGCTGAGACTGTCAGCATCGCCCCTGAAATCATCAGGGGCGGTGAAGCAGTCGGTTCGGTGTTTTCCATCTTGGACCGGGCTACCCGAATCGACCCTGATGATCCGGACGCGGATCCCGTGGAATCGGTCCGAGGAGACATTGACCTCCATCACGTCGAGTTTGCGTACCCGTCGCGTCCGGACGTCGCGATCTTCAAGGACCTCAACCTCAGGATCCGAGCCGGGAGAAGCCAGGCTCTCGTCGGGGCAAGCGGGTCCGGAAAGAGTTCCGTCATTGCGCTAATCGAACGGTTCTACGATCCAACGGCCGGGAAGGTCATGATCGACGGGAGGGATATAAGGAGATTGAATCTAAAGTCCCTAAGGCATAAAATCGGTTTGGTACAACAAGAGCCCGCGCTTTTCGCCACCACCATTTTCGAAAACATAGCGTACGGAAAAGAAGACGCGACGGAATCAGAAGTGACGGAAGCCGCACGTGCCGCAAACGTACACGCATTCGTCACCGGATTGCCTGAGGGGTACAAGACTCAGGTGGGCGAGAGAGGGGTCCAGCTCTCCGGCGGACAAAAACAACGGATCGCGATAGCGAGGGCGGTCCTCAAGAACCCCGCGATACTCTTACTCGACGAGGCGACGAGCGCGTTGGACGCCGAGTCGGAGTGCGTTCTGCAAGAAGCGCTCGAACGGTTGATGAGGGGTCGGACCACCGTGCTGGTGGCCCACCGGCTGTCAACCGTTCGAAACGTGGATAGCATCGGGGTGGTACAGGACGGGCGAATCGTGGAGCACGGGAACCACTCCGAGCTAATCGCCCGCCCTGAGGGCGCTTATTCGAGACTCTTGCAACTACAACACTATCGAGTGTGAATTGTTTTGCCCAAAAAAATTCATGTTTTTTTCTTTCTTTCTTGAAAAGTGAGGCAAACTATGTTTTCATGAGGTCCCATTAACAGTTGCTTTCAGTTTTCTTTATTGATGATGATGGTGGTGATGATGGTGGATGTAGATATGGGGAGGGATGTGATTTGAATGAACTTTTTCTCTTTTTCCATTGTTTATTGGTTTCAACTTTTTTTTTAAAAAATTCCGTTTCTTCATGGGTGTGTTTGGTGATATGTATTTTTTTCAGATATGGATGATGGTGATAATATAAAAGATTTTCTTTTTTTGCTTTTGAGAAAGGGAAAAAAATTAGGGCACATTCATCTGGTCCCATGCATGTGTATGAGCTGAAAAGGCTTTCTTTATATATATATTAAGGGAGTGAGAGTTGTAAAGAGGAAAGGAAGTAAGGGTTGCATGTTCTATTCACTTTTATCATCACTAAACCTGCCCTAAAAAAATTGAAAATTACTCTCTCCGTCTCAGAGTATTTATCCACTTTTATTTTTATACACCATCTAATACACTTCTTTAATCCATTTTATCTTGTAATTTGTATATTAAAAAATTATAAAAATTATATATTAATAATCTATATCTTAAGACAAATCAAACAAGATCACACATGACTATATTTAGGATTACACATTGAGAGAATTTGATGAGTCAAAGTACTTAGATGAACAGTTCCAAAAGTCAAAAGTGGACGAATATAGCAAGACGGAGGTAGTATATTTTACCCATCTATTACACCCACTAAGAGGAAGCTTAAAGTTACACCAATAAAATACGACACTAGTGGTGACACAAGTTCAATTGGAACACCTATAATGTTCTCTTCGTAAAATTGACAATTCCTACCTTCTACCTACCTCCAAAACACCCCACCCTAGCCCCTTCCATCCACCCCAGCCCCACCCCCTAGTCCCCAATTTGGCATAATTGTTGTAACATATTGGTGTAAATTTGAAGGCTAAAAGTGTAATTTGACAATGATCATATATCTTTATTTTCATACACAGATTCTTAAGTCACTTGATTTTTTGTTTGCAAATCACAGTAGGTATTGGGTAACCACTACAACCATAATTTACAGGTGTGGTCTTCCATCGGCGTCCTAATCCACGACCATAGGCATTATTGTTATGTTATCTGTCTAACCAACATGACTACATCAAAATACGCCACTGATATCAAATTGCACTTTTGCGTTCAAATTAATGCCAGCATGTTAGAAGGTTAAAAAAGATTATTTGAAAAAAGATACCCAAAAATGGACCAGAAGCATAATATTTGATAGTAAATGACTAAAAGCTTGTTCTTTAGAGCTGGGAAAAAAGAGTTCGATGTTGGAAGAAACTGAAAGAAACTAGAAGGAACTGAAAAAACTTCAAAAAAATTGGAAAACCTAAAAAATATATTGTTTTTAGAGTAATTGGTTGAACAGACAAAAAAGTTTGAAGAAAATGAGAATAGTTGGAAGGAACTGGAAGAAATAAAAAAAACTTAAAGAAACTAGACAAAACTGGAAGAAACTGGAAGTTAAATCTTAAATGTTTAATTTTTAAAAAACAGACTCTAAATATGAAAAATTTTCTGTGATAAATGACTATTTATAAAATTTACTCTTTATAAAAAAGACAAGAGTATTTGCAATTCTTTTTATCTACGTGAAAAAAAACAAATATTGGGACTGAGTATAGGGAGTAATAATAATAACATGACCCATTCAATTACCAAATCATGCCAATACGGAAGTGGCGTTCTGAGCGGAGCTCGGTGAGGCAATCTTAGAGCACTTTATTATTTCCTCTTTCTTTCTCAATGGTCTTCCAAGTAGAGGTCAGTGAGATGTCGTCTGCTTTGCCTTTTTAACTTTAAAGTGATTAGACACACACTTTTGCACAGAAAGATGGATGGAGTGTTAAGAAAGGAAAACAAGGGGTCCATGAAGATGCTGGGGTACCCTTGCCTTGTAGAGAGAATAATAGGGAGTACTTTTTTCTGTCTCGTAAAACATTTCCTATTTTGATTTCTGGAAGAAAAAAATGTAGAAATTTGATCAAAAAGAAACAACGACAATTAAAATGAGTAGTGCTGGGAGAATGTCAAAATGTGTTGTGCGTAGAAGCTAATTAAGGTAGGTTTGATTAGGTTTAAGAAAAATGAAGACAACTGTGTTTGTTTAGCTCAATTTGAAATGTTTTATGGGACAAATAAGAGGTGAAAGTTGAAATTTTTTTTACAGGGCGGAAGAATACTATTTTTGGCTAATGTTTGTTTTGGCATGAAGTTTATTATTTTCCTATTCAATCTAATGCATCATTAGGTCGGCCATAAGGATCACAACCATCGTCGTCGATAGTGGCAAGCCAATCAAACATGTCGATGACAACTTTGTCGTGATGCCATGGGCTGAGGTAGCCACCCAATGCCACCACATCGTCTTAATGCTCGCAGTGCTGGTGTAGGATCCAGGACAATATTGTCCTGCGAGAATATTCAAAAGCCAATGAAAAGCCGCTCATTTGGTAGGAGTTTTGCTTTGCGTGTGGGATCTACTTTCGGTTCTTGTAACCATTCAGGCTCCCGTTATCCTCGAAAAACATCAGCACATAAAGTTTAATTTCTTGTTATGCCGTTTTCAAGACAACCGTCCCCATTGATTGCTTCATCGACACCCCCCCCCCCCCACCTGGCACGTCGTCTTCCACAAACTCTGATAATGAGTGACCTGCTATACCTCCCTAAGAACCTCTTGTTGTGACTCACCATTTATTTCTGAGACTTGCCATTTATACAATTATATATATGGTGCAGCAAATAGAGAACTGATAAAGAACTTGAAAAGCCATTGCTACATGTACACCATACTTACACCACACCAAAATAAAATTTGAAGCTATAGAGAGAAATCTCGGGTCTGTTAATCTGTTTTATACATTGTCTGTATAGCTCAAAATTTTGGGTCTGGTGTAAATTTGGTGCAAGTGTGGTGTAGATTTGACAATTTTCAACTTGAAAATTAAAAGATAGAGGATAGAGGTTACCTGATAGAGTAGCCAAAAAGAATAATAAAGAATAGAACTTCCCATGGAAATCAATTGCTCAAGGTATTAGTCATACCACTCAGATGAAATACACTGATCGTTGTGTTCGTTCGTGTATATATCATGAAGATAAACATCACCCAAATCAAGAATCTATGTTATGATACAAAGACTGCATCTGCTTGGTTTATTGCAAGAACCATATGTAACCAAATCCCAAAAGGGCAGAAAAGAATTGACTTTCAGAGGTTGCTGCTTTGAAGTAAAATTAACTGTCAAGCACGCTTGAAGTTGTCGCCATAATAGTAAGCAGTCCCGACCATTAATGCAACCGTGGCACCTTGTGCAACTACACGAGCTCTCATGAGCTTCTGGCCTAATTTGGAATTCCCTTGCCTGAAACTAATTAAACCCGCAGTTAGCACTCCTGCAGTCACAAGTGCACCTGAAATTCCAAGAACAAAACGTTGACCTTGAGTTTCAACATTGGATATTTGGGGCGCAACAAAGGCTACATTGTTTACTTATCAAAATGACTATCACTTTGGTAGGGAAAGGAGAGGATAGGAGGGGTGATTTCAAACATTAAAATTCCGAAAAATATTGTATTTAGTTATAAACGCCTGGCACATTGAGTTTATGCTAACTTATCATTTTTTTACCTTTAATCCCGAAAATTTATCAAGTTAAAGCAATACTCCCTTTGTGCCATTATTCTTGGGAGGGCACGAGGGATTGCTACAAAGATTAAGAAAAGTAAGATTGTGTGGTTGATATTGATGCCAAGTAAGAAAAAGTAAAATAAAGTGAGAATGAATGTGAACCACAATCACCACACAAATATTACTAAATATTGTATAAGAAATAAATAGTGGGACGGGCAAAAAAGTCAAAAATGGACAAAAGCATGGAACGAAGGGCGTATTTCTTAAAATGAAAAAATAATAATAAACATGTCTTTAGAGTTTATAAAAGCCAATCTAAACTACTATTCAATATTAACACCCTAGAAAGACTGAACAAAGATTAAGCCTCTCTATAACATTTAAAGAGTAAATTCCAACAATGAAAGACTTCAATTGTAGCATTTCATGTCTTTCCATCTCAAGTATAATCCACAGTACATGACCAAATAGTTATGATTATAGATTGGGCCTTTTATATAAATACCTATTGTTAGACAGATTTGAACTCTTATTTGGACGAGTTAGAACCAATCTTGCAAGGCATTGTTTTGTGCATCAAAGATAGCATTTTGGGTCTGACAAGATTTGGCTATACAAAAGCTCACAAAAAGGAAGATTAATGGAAAGAGCAGCAATCCATAGCTTTAAACCTAGTTAGTAAATTGGTTACAATTTAGTCTTTCAAAATAGTACTCTCTTCATCCCATATCGTGCTTCTTGTTTTTTTGGCACGTCACATATCTTTCTCCCCGTTTCTAAAAATTGAAATTAAATAAAATCTAAGACATTATTTTGCAATTAAATATTACTCATATTTACTCATAGCCTTAAAATTTAGTCTTGCCATTAAATATTACTCATATTTACATCATCCAAGCCGCGGATAGACTAAACTACCTTACTATCCCTACTCCCAACCCACCCATATATTCTTTCTCCAATTACATTGTCCATGCAATAGTGAATGAGTAGAGATGAAGGGGCAGACAAAAAAGGGCAGCGGCAACAGAGGGGCGGTGGCGGAGGGACAACGGGGAATAAGCAGCGGAAAAGGGGCGGCGACGAACCCAATATGGAAGGGTTTTGATTTCAGGTGTAGGGAAAGGATTTTTCTCCATGCGACAAAGGGTTTCGATTTTGATTTCATAGCATTAAGATTCTTTTTTCATTTCTTCATCTCTTTGCAGATTCAACTTCGTTTCAACTTCATAGCCTTAAAATTTCGTTTTCGACTTCTTCATTGCATTTTTCTTCATCCCTTCACAGATTTCTTTCTGGCATAAGAACCCTGGATTTGATTTTATGAATCTTATGAGATTTGACTTTGGTTTTGTTAGTGGGACGGGCATTGGTTGCCGAAGGATGGTTGAGACAGAAGAGTGGCAAGGGAGGAGGTGGGTTTGAGGCGAAGAAAAGGGCAAGGGTGGGTTTGAGAGTTGAGACAAAAGATGAAGAGGACAAACAAAAAATTGAAAGGGTAAATTTGGAAAGTCCTAGTATTTTTCATCTTACATTAAAAATCATGACGGAGGGAGTATTAAATACTGTTTACCCGGCATATCCTTGATACTTCTCCAAATTAGCTTCATGTTTGCTTTTGGCATGCTTATTAAGAATATGAAATTGAGATAAATGGAAAAATATCAACCACACAATAATTTCCTTGAAAGAAAATGTGAAATAATTTTGAGATTGCAAACAATGAAAGGTGTGAAGGTAAATTGGAGACAGAGGGAAAATCAACAATGAAATTAAGGTCAATTTGAGTAGTAACTAATAAAATCTTTTTTAATTAAGTCTATTTTCCAATTTCCCATGTTATCCTTCCTCCCTTGATTCCCTCAGAATTTTTCCTCCCTGGGGGAGGGTGGACCCGATGTTTGAGAAGAGCAGTAAATCCACCATTGTTCGTCCAGCATATCAGTCCCCACTGGCCTTGGTCTAGCTAGTTAGAACACAAAATCAATGAAGGTCTGTTGCAAGACGGAAATGAATTCCTTGTATTAATGCAGTTTGATCTTATTACCCATTTGGCACAACCTAAGCAAACTCTACATGACCGCTGCATATGCCATGGTACAACTGTGTCACAAACTTGACATCCAAGTTCCATATACAGCAACCAACTACAACACAACCAAAACCCAATGCAGTCCTAACTCTCATGGGGCTTGGGTATCAAAACATACAGTGTTACACTCTTCTTATTCATAAAAAATGGTTGTTTCCGACTTTCCATAATATCCTTGATGCATTGGGGAGCATTTACTACCCAAAACTTCATAGAAAGTACACTCCGGATCTTTTGACAACAACTTGTTTCAATCAGAGCATCGTATATGCTATAGTGATATAATGACATTAATATTTGTTAAAAGAAGGGGGCCAAAGTGCACTTCGGTCCTTTTGACAACAACTTTGGTTGTCATAATATGACAACAGAACCTACGGCGCTCCGATAGAAAGAGGGGCACGAGGTTCAGGGGGTAGCGACTATCAATTTTTTGATCAAAGCATCATAGATGCTATAGTCATATTATGACATTAATACTTGTTGTCAAAAGAAGGGGCCGTAGAAAGTAAGAAGAAAAAGAAGCCTAAAGTGGCATTTTGATTTAGCTACATTGCTTCCCTAAGATCTTAATCATAATCCTCATAGTGAGGTCACACTCCTATTAACAAAAACTAAGAAGGGAGTTACACACAAAATGGCTGCTAAATGGAGATGAGTCGGTTAATCCGATATGGGTGAGGGAGTAAAGGGGAGTATCAAGCTAAATATTGAAGAGAAAGGAGATTTCAATTCCCTAATCTCATCCGAAAAGGATAGAAACATCTGCAGGCCATAGTAAAGTGGAATACATAGATATATAAAATACAACTCTTCAGTTTCATAATTCCTCTTTGGAAGAATCGCAAACAGAGCTCAGATCCACAACACCTGACGAAACTAGACAGTAAAATGTTCAACAATGCTTGAATTGCGTGTGCAGTAATAAGGTGTGGAAATGTGCCGACAGATAGCTAGGGTTTCGAGGAAGAGAACTGTACCGATAGGAACAAGAGGGTTCCTCGCGCGCTTTTTGTCGTCGAAGAGTGCTTCCATTCCATGATCGGCAGATCCCATATTCTCCGGCCAGCAGCCGCCGCTCAGCCTTCCAAGATTCTGCGTCTCCGGCCTATGAGTATATAAGAATATTACAGAGGAGTATTATGCTGGGCTTGTTTCATCTGGTTCCGCGGGCCTCGAAAGGGCTTTAGCTTTGTTTTGGCTGTCATTGGTTTCTTTTACTCTTGCTCCTAAAATTATTACCGAGTAGGAGTAATATTTTCATTGGAGACCAGACTTAAATAGCAATTCATTAATACATCAAATAGACATATTATTATTATTATTATTGGAAAATTTACTTAAAAGAATCTCAATTTTATCTGATCTTTCATACATAATTTAAGAAATTACATTAAAAATAACAACAACAATAATAATATTAAAAATAACAACAATATTTGTCTCTATCCAAAAATTGAGAAACTATTTTCATGATACTCCTAGCTCGAGATGCTTATAAAAAAGATCACAATGGATACAAAAGGCAAAAAAAGAACATGTACAACTCAAATCAAGCAAGCATATAGAGTAAACCAAACTAAATAAAATGAAGTCACCAAAGGAGAGTATTGTAATCAAATGGCAATTGGCAACAAGGTAGTGACAGTCACACTTCACCCAAACATTAATTTCACTACATAGACTAAATTCACTCTATTAGTTTCAAAATCATTTTTAATACGGAGTACTTCTTAAATATTAATCCATGAATTCGTATATAAAATTTTGCAATTTTAAAATTTTGATAAAAACTCTTATTTGAATCGTATTTAATAAGTATCATATTTAATAAGTATATTTTAATTATTAAATATGATACATTTTTAAAATAAAAGTGGTATATTTAATAATAATTCACATTTATTAATATCTATATACATTTTTGTTATAAAAAATAAATAAAAGAGAATAACAGTGAATGCTTTTAAAAATGGTGAAATGCATATTGGTATAATACCTAGGAAAAGAAGATTTTGTATAGAATCAATGATATTTCAATGTATATTAACAATAAAAGTTATTTTAATTAATAAAAAACTGAAAGAAGAGGTGCCAAAGTTTTATAATTAAAATTAAAACTAGAATTTATATAATTTTTTATTTGAAAAGTAATAAAATGATATAAATGATGAATAGTTTTAAACATTTATTCATAATGTTTTCTAACATAATAAAGTTATATAACTTTTTTTGAATAATAACATAATAATGTATCCATGGTGTATTTAATTTACATGTGAATTTAGCATTTTAGCGGGTGTGACTATCACCAAGCACCCAACATAAGAGGTTTATAAGGCACATAACAACAACACCTCATAGCTCAAGTTGCTCCAATTCAAAATGGTACACAACATCCCCGTCTAACTCCACATCTGCCTGATCGAATAACCGAGTCAAAATACTAAAACTTGTCAACCTTGAGCACAAGGTGAGAGTCAACCCTCGCTTCCACCCCTGAAATCAGATTACATAAAAGTAAAATGTAAAGAAAGTATAAAATTAGAAATTTGCATTATGGTAATGTGATATTGTATATAAACATCTCACAATATTTTTTGATATTGTATATGATCATAATTGACATTGTAAATCTATTTTAACTTCTATTTTGGAAATAAAAATATGAAACTCCTATTTTGATATATTTTTAAGGGGCGTTTGGTTAGGTGTAAGGGAATCAGGAAACGGAATGGGATTCCCTGATTCCCTTTGTTGTTGTTTGTTTAAAAAAAATTCATTCCCTTTCTCTACTTTTAAGTTTTCTATTACTCAATTTAGGCTTTTCCCATTCCTCTCTACATACTAGGTTTCTGATTCGCATTCCCCTTCCCCAACCCTTCCGATACGACATTCTCCATCCCTGCTACTCACCCCTTCCGTTTCTTCTCGCCGCCACAGACCTCGCGTCCGCCATACACCTTGCCGACCGCCGCTGCAACTCCATCCCAGGTATGTTCTCCCCCCTCTTGCTCCGATTCACCCCCTGCGATTCC